ATCCTAGGAGCTAAGGAGGGACTATCATGGGTTTATTTGGAATTGTGATCTTTAAGTGTTAATTAGAGAATGCTTGTTACATGTAGGCTAGATCTGGTGATTCGTGTTCGAGGAGTACACATTTTCTTAGCCTACTTACGACGTGAGTTTTCTCACTATACCTACCATGAGTGGTATCTATGTGTGATCGGAGGGTCTTATGTTCTTATTTGAGTTATGTGACATTATGCATTTTGTTTGTGTGATATATATGTGATATTCTGTGTTTTATTGAGATAGGACCGGAGGGTCCAACCCGAGCTGTGGGACCGGAAGGTTTCCACTGAGACAGGACCGGAGGGTCGAAACTGAGCTGTGAGACCGTAGGGTGCTCACTGAGACACATGACCGGAGGGTCCACACCGAGAAGCATGAGACCGGAGAGTCCATGCCGAGTTATAGCCATGAGAAGCTTATTATCTGTGTATGTGGTATTTGGGGAACTCACTAAGCTTTGTGCTTACCGTGTTATGTGTGAGGTGTTTTAGGTACCTCTCAGGACCGCGGGAAGGCGCCGACATGATTGTACACACTTGTTCAAGACTATATTGAGGATTCTAGGATTTGACTTTATTTGTGGTTTTGATGTTGACATTTTGAGATACATGTGGTTTCATGAAATACAATATATGAGTTTATTGTGCTTTTAAAATGAAAAATCTGGTTTGAAAATTTACGTCGTTACACATATTCAATTAAGTTCGTATAGTTTTCCCTCATATTCAATTAAGTCCCTATATTTTAACATCATATTCAATTAAGTCCCTACACACGACACTCAAGTATGTTGTTAACCGGTTGTAATACCGACTAACCTGTAAATTGTCCACAATTGAATAATCTAATAATATAAAGTATTAACTGAATATGATGTCAAAATGTAGAGACTTTATAGAAGATTTTCTAAAAATAAAACAATGAAGACTAGCAATGAAACAAAAACAAAAATTAGACCAAAGTTACCTATTTTATTATACCCCGAGGACCATTTATGTAACTTAGTCTTGATATTTTGTTATATTTTTATATTGTTTAAGGCGTTCTAAAGATGTATGTTGTGATTCAATGACAAAAAGTTATGATTACAAAATCAAGCAAAATGTATTTCAATTTTCAACTACAAAGTGTAATATGGGTCGGAGTCGGATCCAAATAATACTCGATACCCACACGCACTCTCACTCGTCACGTGTATTCTATATGCAGAAAGAAATCGGGTCAAGAAATCGCAATACTCTCCCCACCCACTCTCTCTCCCGACGTCTTCTTCATCACTCCCTCTCTCTATCTTTCTCTCTCTCTGTGTGTCTTCCTACCAAAAAGCCTAAAACCCAGTTGGTTTCACAGAATTCTGTATTTGGGTTTTTGTTTCCATGGACTCCAACCGGCCGTAGACACTCGTCTCCGGTTAACCCTCAATGACTCTCCTCGATTCCCCCACCATCGATTGCGTTCAACAACGCATCAAACGGAAGCTCGAAGATTTCATCGACGATGACCTCTCCTCCTCCGACTTAGTCTCCGTCAGGATGAGAAAAGACGATCCTAACCCCGACTCCCCTTCTTCCACTGCCACCCTCAATTCCTTCCCTGATCAAATCACCACTCATCATCCTCATTTCCAACCTAGGGCTTCTTCCAGTTCCATTTGTTCTTTCCCCAATTTCACCCAATTCTTCGTTCGGATGATCTCAGGGGGTAAAACCCTAGTTCTCCATGGAAACCCTGAAGATAAAATCATGTCGATCCACGAGAAAATCCAATCCGCCACTGGAATTCCCTTGATGGAGCAAAGGTTAATTTATGGCGGGAAGCAGCTTCACTGGGAGCAAAGCCTGTCTCAGTGTGGGATCACAAACGACTCTGGGTTGCATTTGGTTGGTCGAATGCGAAGCACGGGACATCCGCAAGCTTGGCAAGTCGTCGATGATTTAGTTTCCGTCATCTGCAGGCTGTGTAAAGGCGAAAGAGGGGTTTGCATAAAGTCTGTCAAATCCAGGTTAATGGAATTCTTAAACATGACACCCAAAGACGGAATCGACCATGCCGCTCCTTACCTGAATATATTTCTCTCTTCATCCGCCATTGCAGCACTGGTAATGCTTTACATGTCACCCCATACGGGCAACAAAGAATGTGCTGAAGACTCGATTCAGCATTTCATCAAATCCAGTAGGAACGTGTTACCAAGACCTATATATCCTGAGTTCGCACCTATAGTATTAGAGTTTTGTAAATTGCTTGGTAGAGCTACTGCCCGTGATGATCCTCTATATAAACTATGTCGAAGTAGTCTAGGATCAATGGTGGAGCACGTCAAAATAGGTAGAAATTCAAAATACTACGATGGTAGTGGCTACAAAAAGATGGTCATAGCAGTTCAAGAGATTTTTCCATTTGTAGACGAGCTTGCAAAGAAGCTATCTGAAGGTTTGATTTCAAGTATGGAATCCAATTTTGGTCCTTCCCCAAATGACGTCCGTGATTTTGCAGCATTTGTGCGACCTCTAAAGGATGCAATCGTTAGCCAGGTACCTTTTGGGACTCTCATTCCAATGCCATACAATCAAAACCTCCCTTGCTACAGTGATGAAGTCAAATTTCTTTACATGCTGTTTTATGACTTATTGTCAAACCTGCAATTGTGTCTGAATAAAGTGGAGGATGTTGTAAAGAAAGAGAAAGGAGATGGTGGGTGGGATCAATACCTTTCTATCTTAAAAGAGCTGCATTACATTTCTGAACTATATCAAGGTGCAGAAGATTACTTTTGGACGAATTTGAAATCTTATAAAGCTTCTCTATGTTATTTAATCGTTCGATATGCGAAAAGGGGTGATGATTATAAATGGATTCTTGATCATAAAGATCTCACAGACTTTGAATCTAGAAGACATCTAGTTATGATGTTGCTTCCAGAAGTAAAAGATGAATATGAAGAGCTTCATGAGATGCTTATCGACAGATCACAATTGTTATCAGAATCTTTTGAGTATATCGCACGTGCAGATCCTGACACTTTGCGTGGAGGGTTATTTATGGAATTTAAAAACGAAGAAGCCACTGGTCCAGGGGTATTAAGGGAATGGTTTTTCTTGGTTTGTCAAGCTATCTTTAATCCCCAAAATGCCCTTTTCGTTCCTTGCCCAAATGATCGAAGAAGATTCTTCCCAAATCCAGGTTATAACTTATAACCCTATGTAGCTTCATGTTTTCCTTTTACAACAGGGGTATTAAGGTAATTGTTTCATGTTTGCAGCATCTAAGGTGGACCCAATGCACCTTGACTACTTTAGCTTTGCAGGGAGGGTGATTGCACTTGCATTGATGCATAAAATGCAAGTTGGGATTGTATTTGATAGAGCATTTTTCCTACAGTTAGCAGGAATGAATGTCTGTTTAGAAGATATAAAAGATGCAGATCCGTATCTATACAACAGTTGCAAACAGATACTGGATATGGATCCATGTGCAGTTGACGAAGATACCCTTGGGTTAACATTCGTTTGGGAGAGTGAAGAGTTAGGTTCCATGAAAGTTCTAGAACTTCTTCCTGATGGAAAACAGATAACTGTAAACAGTAAAAACAGAAAGGAGTATGTTGATCTTTTGATTAAACATCGGTTTGTGACATCTGTTTCACAACAGGTAACACATTTTGCTCGAGGATTTGCAGATATTGTTACAGATGAAGAGATTCAAAAACGTTGTTTTAAAAGCTTAGAGCTTGAAGATCTTGATGGAATGTTACATGGTAGTGAAAGTGATGTTTCTGTTGATGATTGGAAGGCACATACAGAATATAATGGATATAAAGATACAGATCCACAGATTTATTGGTTCTGGAAGGTGCGTAATATTTTCTTGTTTTTTTTAAAATTTTTTAATGGTTTTGGTTGAAAAATTCATTATCTATATATAAATAAATACACACCATTATGACCTGTTATAAAAGGTTGCTTGCCAGTTATAAGGGTATAATTGGTACACCAAAAAGAGTTTAGGGACCTTTGATGGTCAAAAGAATTTAGAGTGACCAAATGTGGACAACAACTAGTTGGTTATTTACATATACTTTTTTTTTTTTTTTTTTCGTATACTTGTGATATTATAATAATTATATTATTTGTGTCTATCAAGTTAAGATTGGATGTTATACTAAACAAATAATATTCTCTATATTGATTAATTTAATTAATAGTATAGTTTAATAATGTACCATGCAGTTGCTATTTTTTTTTGTTCTGTATGTCAATGACAAGCTCATACAATTTTATAATCCATTTATTTTGTCATGAATCATGCTGCGTAATATATATTTTTCCTTTTTGCGTATATTTGGAAAAAGTATATATTTAATGTAGATTATGTTTATACCATTATAACCTGCTTTAAGCATGTTGTTCATATTAATGGTGTATTTGATAGAAATTTGAAAAGTTTAGGGACTAAATGTGGACGGATGGAATAGTGTTATTAATTTTTAATTAGTGGTTGGTTGGTTGGTTGGAATAAACATAACAGATTGTGGGGGGAATGAGTGCGGAGCAACGGAAGGTTCTTCTGTTCTTTTGGACATCAGTGAAGTATCTGCCAGTGGAAGGGTTTGGTGGGTTGGCTTCAAGGCTTTATATTTATAAGTCAAACGAATCCTTTGACCGCCTTCCTTCTTCTCATACCTGCTTTTACCGGATTTGTTTTCCTGCTTACTCATCAATGGCCATGATGCAACAGCGCCTCAATGTCATCACTCAGGAGCATGTTGGTTGTAGCTTTGGAACATGGTGACAATGCATGCATTCTTCGCTTGTACAGAAGATATTATATATATAAATAGGGTAAATTATGATGAAATTTTCTAATTAGACTTGACTTGCATGATATGATGTTTTCTTTTGTTTGTTGCCTTCAGTTGATGCTAGGGTTTAGTCTTTGTGATCAACTGTTTATATATAGGTATATATATATAT